AACACTGTCATCTGTTAGACGTATGAAATAATTAACATGGCCATGAATTATGTTCTGGGTTCAGGGTTCCATAACTTGTTGGAATAGAACCTCAGATTTGAACACTGTCATCTATTAGATGTATGAAAAATTAACATGTCCAAGAAGTACTCTGGGTTAAGGGTTTCATAACTTGGGGGAATAGAACCTCAGATGTGGTCACTGTCATCTATTAGACGTATGAATAATTAACATGACCATGAAGAGTTTTGTTTTAAGGGTTCCATAACCTGGGGGAATAGAACCTCAGATGTGAACACTGTCATCTATTAGACGTATGAATAATTAACAAGGCCATGAAGTGTTCTGGGTTAAGGGTTCCATAACCTGGAGGAATAGAACCTCGGATGTGAACACTGTCATCTATTAGATGTATGAATAATTAACATGGTCATGGAGAGTTCTGGGTGAAGGGTTCCATGACCTGGAGGAATAGAATCTCAGATGTGAACACTGTCATCTATTAGACGTATGGATAATTAACATGGCCATGAAGAGTTCCGGGTTAGGGGTTCCATAACCTTGGGGAATAAAAACCTCAGATGTGAACACTGTCATCTATTAGACATAAATAATTTAACAGTGTCAAACAAAACTCTAATTGAGGGTTTAATAACCAACAATAAACGATCATCATGGTTAGACACTGCCGGAAATTAGACGTATGATGAATTAACTGGGTCACAACCCATTGTTGATAAATAGTTTCGTAGCCTGGAGGATTAGGACCTCAGTAATCAGACACAAGGAATCATATGTAGGGTCACAAAATGTTATAGGTTAAAGGGTCCATAACCTGATCAAATGTTGTCACTGTCTGCAATTATATTTTTCAATAATTAACTGCGTCGCAACATGTTGTAAGTTAAGGGTGTCACAAGCTTGAAGGCCAACTAAGGCGGTTTCTATTTGTACAGCGAAATTCAATTGTAATTCGTTGATGGCGGTATGTAGGGTGAAACACCAAGGATCGGAATACATCGAACTCATGTTAAAAACTATTTTAATCACAGTTTAAAAAATTAAAAAATGGCAGTGGAAATGAAAATAACGAGTTTACATACACACAAATGTAGGCACAAAAAAGCGTCATCAGAAAGCCCTGAAAAATACGTATCTCATGGCGACGCCTTTCTTGGTAATTCGTCCGTTGCTCTTAAACCGAATTGTCATCTCGTTGCTGGTAGACACCACAGCGTGGGATGGTCCATCACCACATGTTCTGAAACAAACAACAGAGACTGCGTTATTTATACACTGTAATCATTTCCGAGCCAGAGTCCATATCGATAATAATTTGTTTGTTTACTGTTTCTTTAAATACCTTGTCATCTTTTCTCTTATAAAGGATGGTGGCTTTGTTGGCTCAGTCTTAGTAAATGCTCGAAATTGTATTATAGGCCAATTTTATATATTATTATTATACATATGTCACCGTAACGCCATAAGTTACAGCGTGTCGTAATTTTGTGGTGTTTTACGGGATATTTCATCCCATATAAGGAAATGCGAATTCCAAATATGGAATGATTACGCGCGTTAGCGTCCTATAATAATGAAAACAAACATTGCTACCATCAGGGTTTGACCGGAGTCTACACAAAGAAGTTCGATGATTCTGTTCTAAACATTTTGGATTTCGGCATTCCCACGATGTATCCTTGGAAGGAAAAGATGTATAATAATAAGGTTATTACGAGAATACCTCAAAGTATGCACTCAGACACGTCTTCGTGCATACTTTGTGGTATTCTCGTAATAATCCACAAAGGCGTGGGTTTATTTGCTGAATATATACAGATCAATATTGGTATGAAATGAATCGGTAGGCATCCTTCGCAAATGTGTCGACTCAATTCCAAAAATATAATTACCTAGTTGGATTGACCCATTCCACTCCTAGAGATATTTCTATATAGTCGTTAAGACAGTCCATGTCATCTTCAACGTCAAAGTCAACAAAGAATACTTTGATGACATGGTCATAAGGTGCCTGCGAGTGAAAACGAAAACCGATTACTATACACTTATATTCAATTATTTTGGAATTGACGAGCGTGTTCTGGTATATTTTCAATGGATATAATAGCATAATAACAATTGCGTTGTTATACAGTGACAATTACCTCAAAGACCCATACACATTCCTCATTATCGCCGTAGAATCTTGGATAGTTTGGTGTGCTTAGTGAACCCCACGATGCAGTGAATACGTCGCCACAGGTAATGGTATCTGAAAGATGAACGCATTGTTTAGATTGACATAGCTATTATACATTGTAACACCAGGGCACTGCAAAACACCGAATGGAGTTTTGATTTTGTACCATACTTTAAGCGTTCTTGTATACGCCCTCTAGTGGCGTATTTTGTATTTACTACGGTCTGTAAATTACATTTTGTAGTATATTTCATTCGCGAACGGGCAATGTTTGCGTCATAGCAAAACGTATTTCAAATATGCACATCTTATAAAACTGTATGCAAAGCAACGTACTTGGTGGAGCAACCGTTCTTAGTGGAGCAACCGTTTTTAGTGGAGCAACCGTTCTTAGTGGAGCAACCGTTCTTAGTGGAGCAACCGTTCTTATCGGCTCAAGACGAATAGGACGGGTGACGGGCGCTGGTCGAGTGGGACCCATGGGTGCCGGTGGGACAACGACTTTAGAGGTTCTGTCACAAGATTCTCTGCTATTGATGGCGGAGTACTGAAGTTTGAATCCACGGCGAGACATTGAGAAATCGGAGCGGAAATAAACGATAAGTTCGTTGCTTGTCGATGTAAAACATTCGGGAAGAGATGTACCGCAATACCTGCAAAATTAAGTAAATAATTATGTGTAACAGTTATAGACTAGAGGATATACAAGTACACTTTTTATAGCGTTACTTATTAATGCAATAAGAGTTCTGACATTGCCCCACCAAGATTGTATAATTGTCAATCCCTAATCTTTATAATGACATCATTTGCATATAAGGTACATACATAAGGTTCTCACACGGTGAATATAGTCACCATGGCTGTTGCATAAACGTAGAAGTAACAAATTATACTTACTTAGTACCTCCATCATAGAAGTTTTCTTCCGTTCTGAGAGCAATGTAATCGTATTCGCACTCCGAGGACGAGCGTGATTCCAATTGAAAATCATCGAATGTTACAGAAATCAACTTCCAACGTGGTACCTGCGCAAAAGTTATAAAAAATGTTACTGCAAAAAACCTTTGTTTCAAAAGTTCGTCTGTGGTGACTGTGTTCAAGTTGTTTCTATACATTGCAGAGGTACATTACTTGGGGTTTGCAATTACGGTGATATGATACCAAGATCCCGTTTCAATCTCGCTCTCGCATAAGCGTTCCAACTCAGAAAAATGCGAATGCGCATGCCCGAGGTAACTAGGATACTGGGGTGTCCAGGTGTATCAGAATAACTGCTCACGGTATGACGGATTACGATAACTATATTTTCTGTACAATTTTGATGTATTACATTTTTCACTATGAATGTGGCAATACATGTTTTATTGTTTTATTACAAACCGCCTATGTCATGTCAGAAGGTCGTAGCATTAGTCTCACAATCTACGAGATGAGACTTGAATGGGATCTTGGCATGATGTCACCATATAGTACTATGCGCGTTGCAAACCCCAAGTAATGTCCTAATATTTTTCAAAAATTAAATTTTTAAAAGAATTCCATACAGCACAATGTTAATAAAAAACAGATTTTTGAAATAATTGAAGACAACAAAAAGTATCCCATCATTCACAATATATAATTGTGTATGTCACCAGCCTATATTATTCTTATATTGTTCGAAAGTACAATTTATTGGAAAATGAATAAGTTCTGATTATTTGAAATCATGAGTAGACTTTTACGCAAATATTTTCGCAATAAAAAAAAAAAAAACATATATGAAATTGTGTCTTTATTTATTTGTTCTGAATGAATACGTGGTCAACAGTGTTAACAGATAAGGACAGTGACAGTTTTAGTAAATAATCACACGGGTGTAGCGGGTGAAATTAATTCAAACTTATAGTTTATAAACATACCTCAATTTGCCATACACATCTTTGGTTGATGGGATACGAACTAGGGTAGTTAGGTGACTCTATCGTACCGGTGGAACCCGTGAGACGTCCACCACATTCTGCAATAGAGCATACATTCAATCACCACAGAAATTACCTAATTAAATCTCGGTAACGTCTCTTTGTACTCGCTAGTCTGCACGTCAGTCAAAATTTATGTGATACCTATATCTCGCGCATGTGTGACGCGTGATGCAAATTCGAGTGCGTGTGGTGCTAGTTCCGATTGTATACAGTCAGTCAAACCAAACAAGTGACCAATATTTGCGGGAAGGTAAATCTTTTTCAAATATTTTTGGATGTCAAAACTTAAATACAATTCGCTCCAGTGTGTTGAGGATACATAACAGCTAACGTACTAACACTGACAGCGTACAGCCCCGGTTCCCGGACGGACATTTACCGGCAAATAATATGGAGCCTTGAGAACAAAATCGAAACTCATATTATATACCACACCTCAATATATTATATATATTACACAATTGTGATTCAATTGCACCGCCGTACATAATGGGACAACCGACACGTCACGGTGTCTGCGTGATTCAATCGGCAATTAATCGATCTGACCTGAAACTTACATACGGTCACACTAGACCATATCGCTTGTAAGACGGATTATAACACATTCGTGTATGAACTTGCTTGATGGTACACGACAAACCCCCCACATGAAAATTATTTTAACACATAAATTACATTATATTGAGGGGAACTATCATTTTAACAGTAGGTTCGAATAATAAAACATAAATGGTCAAAATTGATTTCTCGTGTGGTTTCTATGGAAACTCCATCGCGCATGTCACCCTAGTATCAAACCCTCGATTATATTCACAGTTGATATTACGAATATTGAACACATAATGAGTTTATAATACTATATAATAATTCTGCATATATTACCTGGCTCAACCGTTACCGACGTTTGACAGAGGACACCGCTGTATCCTTCAGGGCAAACGCATCGACATCGCGGGCCCACATAACCTTCATTCTGGCAAGGCAGTGAGGGACAGTTTGCTGTGAAGCAAAAACGTATGATTAATATTACTTGTCCTGTGATTGGTGACTTGGTATTGTAGAATTGTCTAAAGTCGCCAAAAGCGTCACAGATAAAACAGCGTACTGTTGAAAATTCGTTGGGAACGGGTAAATCTCGTCGGTTGTGTGCAATGACGTAAACTTAAAGTGGTTGTCCTACCGTTGCAGTTGTACATTGAGTTTGCCAGTTTTACATCATAAAAACTCAACGTCGTACTGGATCCGGGTGTTTCTTGCATCACTGGATCTTGTGTGGTGATAGTTTTCTTGTCATTCACAGAGAAATACTGAAAAGAGTGAGAAAATATATTCATATAAGTGTGAAACTAATAGAGAATACATAATGAGAAAAGCGAAATTATAGAAAATACGAAATAACAGTTATGATGGATTAACAATGCACGACACAAACATTAAACGGAACTAGACCACTTACATATGAACCGTAGTGCATGATGGATTTCAAATCATATGGTATTCCAAACGTCTGGCCTTGGCCTACGTCGTATTTATCAAAATTGTATACCATAGCAGGTTTGATATTTCTGGTGTGAACAGTGATGTAGTCATCACGATCCGGGCGTGCTTGTTCATGCCAGAATCCAATAGCGTGTCCGATTTCATGTATTGCGGTCGCCGTCTACAGTTGGCCATATAGATAGGGTAAATATTATCATTAACATGAACAGTAGTGTATTTTCTATACAGTGACGTGAATCATTTGTATACACTGCATATGTGTCTGTTTGTTGACAGCGCGGGAATAGTTCAACGTGTATTTTACTAAGAGGTACAAAAGTTGTCAAAAGTCATGAATTAAAAAAAAATAATTCCACCATTACCATTATCTGATAGTCAATACAATCAACAAAAAGTTTAATAAACAAATATACAATATTCTTACAAAATGGCAGTTTTGTCCAATTGAAATGTGCTGGACTGAGTCTTCCGCTCTTCCGACATACGACCAACACCTGTGGGAGAAATAGCAGTTGAACTTATCAGCCGACTTATATATATATTTCAATAAAATATGTCCAATTCACACCAACTAATTCAGTGGCAATTCATTATCGAACAGTTATCGTGACGCAACACTTACCCAGCTCCACGGAAGAACATTATATAATGGTCTAAAAACCCGGCACTGTTTAAGCTATGTTCCTCAAATCGTAGGCACGTGTTATCTTCCCAGTGTTCTATAGCTTCTGAAATTGCGATTACAGCCTTGGTAGCTAAAATTAAAAACATATATTTATATATTAATTTCAATATATAAACAGTCTGTTAAAAATTCAAATGATAATTAGACTCGGGACTTCCTCGATTGCCCCCTATGTTCACCAAGTACTACGCGTTTTTTTTCAGTTCTTTCCTTCAATTTTACGATATTTTGAAACATGCACTTACCCATTGTTGAATCCAGTACATAGGGTACGCGACCATTTGACCAGAGCCGAGTTACAGAACCAACTGCTTTACGTTTTGTTGGATCGATGACGTCTTTTTTGGCTGCATGTATTTTAGAGGTTTGTGTTAATGACAACTTTATATCCGATTCGAACAGGTCACCGTGCTCTTCTGGCCGATCACCGTGTTTATCCTATAATGAAATAAAGTAAACAATAGTCATATAGGATGCGTATGCGCAACCACTTTATCTGCCGAGCAGAAGTCACGATAATTTATTCAGAGCATCAGGTATTCTTTGAAGAAGTAGTCGTATTTGGTGATTGGCCCACGACAAAATATTGAGTGCACAAAATTAATTTACATAATTAAAATACGTTCCTACCTTGCCGGTTTCGTCAATGTAATCTGGCACGGGGGTAGTAAAAGACGTGTTTTTGTCATCGTATTCCTGTGAAGAATAGAATAGAAGGACAAATAAATATATGTATATACGTAGCTCAGATGGACTTTTATTACCAACTCTTTATTCTTTATGACGTTATTGTCATTCCTCTCAGTTCGTGTTATTATTAATTGAATGACTGCGCATGACCCCGAGAAAGAACTCCGAGAAAAGAACCCGGGCGAGGATTTTCTAGTATTATCATAAGCTCCGCAATTTGAATAGAAGTTGCAACGATTAACTCCCAATATTCTCGTGAATGTTTACTTCGTTGGGCAATTTTTTGACGATCTCCGAGTTCACACAGAATCACGATTGTCATGCAATGTACTAAATGACTATAACACGAATTTGCGTCGAATCTCATGTGTGTACTTGCTAAGGCTGGTTTTACTGTGATTTTAGCGTGCTTAGAACAATATCATTCACTGAGTCATTCTCCAAGCTTCGACTGAACGCGCTGGGCATCAACCACGCTTACAACGGCAGAAATCAGCCGAAGCTTGGAGAATATCGCTGAGAGTCATTCAAACACTATTTGTTGGGCCAGGAAAAGTAATGCATACGACTGGTCCCAAGCTCCCATTTGCAGAACTCACACTACAATTCAACTCCCCATAAACGACAATGTACATGTCTTATACCACAATTCGACTTCCTGTAGACGATGATGTAAAACCTTGAAAAGTAAAGCTATTTTACAACATACAGCAGACCATTTTACAACTTGAATGGTAGAAATAGTGATTTTTCTAGTTTTTAAAAATCAAATAGTAAACATTATCATCACAGATTCCCAAAGTGCCAAACAAAATGAAGCTGCTTCAACTACTCTGGTATTTGCAATATTTGAAGAGTTGACTATGGTAAACATCATTTCAAAAGCTAGTTTCGTTAAAATCACACTATTCTGGTTTTGTATTAAATATAACAGTTTGGAATACAAGCATGCCGTCCCTTGCATGAGATTATTTTTCAAAACAGAGATTCGTGCCTTCGTGAACCCTTGTCTTGATACACATTATAAACGTAGGATGAAAATCGAGATACATACAACGATAGACTTAACACTATTTCCAAACCCATTCAGCTATAAACGAAGTGAAATTTATTTTGACACAGTGCAAAATGTGTCAAATCATAGCGTTTTGCATAGAAATCTGTCGTAGACTTCTTTACAAAAACAAAACTGCACAAACCGTGCGAATAACATGGTTCAAAGGCATATTTTTGTCATAATAACCGTTCCACACTGTACACTGCCGGTAGTAAATTTCCATTTGCTTGCATGTAAGCGACGTGTTCAATAGTCCACAATGCTCACTGGTATTGTGGAAATAGGCTGGCTTACATGTAAGCTGACCATAAATAGACATGGTTAGCTTGCATGTAAGCGACGTGTTAACACCACTCCACCATGTTCACAGGTATAATGTTAGTAGCCTAGCTTTCACATGTAAGCTGCCTACAGGCAGTGTCTATATATACATGGCCGGCTTGCATGTAAGCGGCGTGTTAAAGCCAGTCTACAATGCTCACTGGCAATGTGGAAATAGGCTGGCTTACATATAAGCTGACCATAGATAGACATGGATGGCTTACATGTAAGCGGCGTGTTAAAACCAGTCCACAATGCTCCCTGGTAATGTGGAAATAGGCTGGCTTACATGTAAGCTGACCATACATAGACATGGATGGCTTACATGTAAGCGGCGTGTTAAAGCCAGTCCACAATGCTCACTGGTAATGTGGAAATAGGCTGGCTTACATGAAAGCTGACCATCGATAGACATGGATGGCTTACATGTAAGCGGCGTGTTAAAGCCAGTCCACAATGCTCACTGGTAATGTGGAAATAGGCTGGCTTACATGTAAGCTGACCATAGATAGACATGGATGGCTTACATGTAAGCGGCGTGTTAAAACCAGTCCACAATGCTCACTGGTAATGTGGAAATAGGCTGGCTTACATGAAAGCTGACCATCGATAGACATGGATGGCTTAGATGTAAGCGGCGTGTTAAAGCCAGTCCACAATGCTCACTGGTAATGTGGAAATAGGCTGGCTTACATGTAAGCTGACCATACATAGACATGGTTGGCTTGCATGTAAGCGGCGTGTTAAAACCAGTCCACAATGTTCACTGGTAATGTGGAAATAGGCTGGCTTACATGTAAGCTGCCGATAGTTTGTGTCCATATAGACATGGTTGGCTTGCATGTGAGCGGTGCGTTAAAACGATTTCATGTTGTTCACTGGCAATATGGAAATAGTATGGCTTACATGTAAGCTGCCTTTAGGCAGTGTTCATATAGACATGACTGGCTTGCATGGAAGCGGCGTGTTAAAACCAGTTCACAATGCTCACTGGTAATGTGGAAATAGGCTGGCTTACATGTAAGCTGACCATAGATAGACATGGTTAGCTTGCATGTAAGCGACGTGTTAAAACTACTCCACCATGTTCACTGGAAACGTGGAGATATCCTGGCTTACATGTAAGCCACCGATAGATAGGTTCCAATTTGATATCCCTGGCTTACAATAAGAAATTAATGTTTAAAATGAAAGATCAAACGATTTAGCAACGATTCATATATGCACTTTATTGCAATACAATACGTCTGTAAAACATGATTATTGCCGATTGTGGCAAAGTAAAACAACTCTGTAGACACATAGCAATCAACACCATACAAAATACGATATTAAATTTAAATTACAAAAATCTTGACAAGGAGAGAATAGAAAGCGTCAAATGGATATGGAAAAATAATCACGTCAGTAAAATGTTCACATATGTATCAAGTTTGATTGAAATAATGGATTTTAAAATATTATTTAAAAATATTTTTATGTTAAATAGATAAATAATATGCATAAATGTCAACTAAAAAAGTAATGTATATGCATTAACCCAAGAGCTTCTGTAAAATAATTTCATACCATTTCGCTATGTGTTGAGTTTTTTTTTTATTAGAATTGAAAAATAATCCATTTGTTTACTACATAATGTGACCAATCAATTTCAATCGTCGGAAAGTTTTTGTATACTATTGGATGTCTCTTATCGGAAACATAAATCCTAAAATTTGTATGCTAGAGCTAGACTTCACATACGGATTCTGATAGTGATTTCTTTAGCCAATCACAATTAGTTAATTCGGACCAATCATGTCCAAGGCTACTGATAATTACTGACCAATCCCACATGGGATTAATTTTCGCGCCTTTTACCGAAGGTCAAATATAAGTTTATTTAAAGACAAAGCAAATGTATGTTTTTCAGTAGTCTTTGTTCCCGTCATCAAGAAAGGTTGCTGCTCTGTTCTACGTAATTGGTTGTGTTTTTGCATAGTCGTCTGTTGCCGAACCGTCCCCTAAAATACAGTTTTTCTTGTACGCTGCATATCCTTTCGCCTGTACTACGAATACGGAAGAAATCACTCACGTGTACAGTCTGTAAATATAGATGTGTGAAATTTGTGAAAATAAACACTTTATTATTCAACTTAACCAGTTATGCCGGACTGTCACAGCTATGCAAGGGGTCGTTGATTAATTCAAACATTAATACACTAAAGACAGCTACCGCATGCACTTCCCATCATACCTCATGCGACCATGTATACACTTAAAGTATCTCATGGAAAAAGTGTTGACTATTATGAAAATCATAGTAAACATTGTGCATGCGAGACTGGCCATCATAAATTAGACATAAAAATGTCAGATCAAAATATTTACCAGAAAAAAATGGTTATTATGCGTGCCTGAAGCTCTGCATCTAAGGGTGCCTTTCAATTACAAAAATGAGAGTTTAGTGCCGAAATTAATTCGCACGACAAAAACTCATATTCTCCTTCTGTTATGACTACAGATGAGACTATAGCTGCGACTTACGACTCAGTTAATATGCCCATCCTGATTTCTTCTTCAGTTACGTTATATTTTTTCTTCTTTCCATTGCTCTGTACAAAATTCATTATCTCCATTATGAACATAGGTGACAGGTTCTATAAATAACAAAATGTATTATTTATAGTAAAGTCTGCTCTATTGCGACGTCGAACAAAATATATCCCGAATGACAATTATGTTTTGATTCGTCTTGTACACATGTACACATAATTGTTTTTGTTCATGAACAATTGGAATATCGCACGGATAAGAAGTGATATGGTGCGGTTATATTGCGTTTACGTGAATACGTGCAACTGTTTCATTTTAAGCGATAACCATAAAACGAAAAACTAAATATTAAAATGTTGGTTTCCAATTACTTCTACGTACAGCTTATTCCACGATGCATTCGCATTCAAAACAATTATTTGCAGCCCAAATTGTGTTAATATGTTAATTTATGTATTTTGAAAAGATGTGCATTAAGAGAATACCGTCCATTGGAAATATGCAGAGGATGGAAAAACATTTTTTACAGAGGCGTGGGTACTGAATCATTATGTGGGAGGGCAGCCAATGAAAATTCCCCCTATCTACGTTATATTGATTAATATACGTTATAAAACATGTGCAAGTATTCTGTTCTGAAAAAATGAAAATGTTAGGAGCATTCGCTATACGCAAGAATACGCTGCACTAATATCTTAAGAGGTGCACGACTCACACGACCACTAATCAACTAACTATGCCAGACAGAGTTCAATGTGTCATTGACTGACCGAGCTGAGCTTGTCAAGTGAAGCTTAACGAACTTAAGCACACGATCCTCCCATACGGGAATTTGATGAATTATTTTACCTTGGAAGAGAACTGAAGCTCAGAAAGATGGAAAGAATATATCTGACCCTATACTGCCAATGTAGAGCAGGGTAACACTGTGTTTCATGTCTTGATGGCATGAGGACAGTTCTCTTCCAGGGCAATAAAAACCTAATGTTGGGGCATAATCCTAAATGTTAAGCTTTCTTCAAAGTTCTCACTGACCTCACTGTCGAACACCGTAGATTATCAACTCAAACATGAGACTTCTGTTAACATCACTTTTAGTGCAAAAAATGGCCATGGCGAAAATTAATCAAATGCCATTTATGTGGGTGGGAACATAAGAGTACCTATTCCTGCTGGTTTATACCAGACTACATTGACAAGTCATTGGCGTAGATCCCATTAGGCAGCTGAAATTGCTCTTCATAGTAAATAAACACCACGTTAACTGTTCATTTTTATGCCATTGACCGGCAGCGTAACTTACAAAACATGCGTATCTCAAGCAGTTCTGTTGGTTGATGAGAGCATTTTTCAATTCTATGTGTATACAAGAAGCAGTGATATTGCTCACATTATGCCAACACTGCTTCAAAAATACTCGATGCGAGACACAAAAACTATACTAGTAATCATTCTAAGTTGATGTGTGTGTATCACATACCGTTACGCTAGGGCGTTAGGTCAATGGTGTTTTTTTCAAAGCGGGATTAAATTGATGGACATTCAATACATAAGTAAAGTACAGTATTATTTTGCTAAATTTGACTGTAGATCAATTATTTTACTTAATACTTTATCGGTTGATATGAACATTTACCATCGATGTTGGTATTTCATCGCGGTCTTATCCGAGGTAACATCCCACGAGGAATGCTGCTAAAATTATATCATTATTTACATTGTGTGTGTATTTGTTGCTACGTACGGGAAACGCGATGAAACATATATCTTTGATCATGTCGGGCTGACTCCTATGTCAAACACCGCCACACTGTTTTCTTATACCAACGCTGTAAAATTATAATAAATACAAGTAACCTGTAGAATGCTGTGTGGGTAATATTTTTATATTGATTTATGTTGCATTTGCAGCAAATAGTTACCAAACAATGAGAAATCTATGGATTGGATATACTTCTGAGCTGGCTTCACGTGCATAGTTCAAGCCTGCCTAACAAGTGCTTATAAAATGATTTAATTACAGCACCT